AAATCATGTCGGTACAAAGACATGAAGAAATAACTGATGAGCATTATTAATATTATTAGACTGTGTTGACTGCATGTCATGACCAAATAAGTGTCTTAAAACAATAGCAGGATTATTGCATGAACATTTTAGTCACCAGCCTGAATGAGCTGTACCTCAGTAAATGTGAAAACTCACCAGAGTTTGCTTCGACCAAACCATTCAGGTTCCATGTGAAAACCTTTTACATGGAGAAAATAGATGTTCTCTTCAGTGTCCTTGCTTATTCAGTGGATACAAGGATGAAGCTGCACTACTGGTTATTAAATTATTTCCCTCTGTTTGCTAAGTTGACACTTTACAATGCTTCAGCCTTTTTTGCATGATCTTACAACAGAAGTGGTAAAAAAGAAATCTCTACTGGAAAAACCCTCCTCAGTCTTCCTGTTGGATGAGTTTTATATTGAACTGGGGGCTTGGGAAGGGTGTAGCTGTTTATGAATGACTCAATAGAGAGTTGTGATCGCCAACATCTGTGCTTACTCTGTCAGCCCTTCACATTCTCACCAGGAGGTTTACAAAAAAATTAACTCTGTATATACTGATCATTTGACATTATTTATCTTATTTTTAAGTCATTCACATCTTTTCCCTGACATGTTCTATTCTTTGTCAATGCATAAAGTTTATTTGGAGACTGCTGCACAGCAGAGGTGACGTTGATGAATTAAAGTGAGATGTGTTCCACTCAGCAATCAGGTTTATATTGTGCCAAAGAGAAGCATAATGGATGTCAGGTCAGATTGGTGATAATACAGTTGCTGAATATACTTACTTACTCCTGCTATAGTCTATCTTTCAATGAAGGCCTTTACTTTGGGAATTGAACATGTTTCCTTCAGTGACATCATGTACTTATACAAATCTATATTATTTCACTACTATTTGTTGAAAACTAATTAAACCCATCAGATGTTCAATAATACAACGTTTTTATATTTCCAGTGAATATCCTGTTAAGTGTTACTGAATAACCTCAACTGAATTGTGTGTCTAATCCTCGCTGATTTAAATGTTGAGGTCAACTGTAGAAAAACCTCTCTAACAGTTGAACAGCACCACAGACTACATCCTCAGAAATTACCATGAGGTTTTCTAACATTGTCTACACGCACATAGTGGTTGAGTTTCCAGAGCTGAAACCAGCTGCCTGCTGCTGCTGGTCATCTGTGACTATAAATGTGCTGCTAAAAGACGCCAAAAACCTCAGTTGATTTAGTTTATGATTCATGGTTATGTCACTGCCAGCCCCTTGAAACTAACTGGAATCACTGTGAAAATGAAATAATGTTGATTATTGGAGCTTTAAACAAACTGTGAGAAAGGCGTGATACTGTACGTCAGACAGACCATTCAACAGTGAAGCATTGGATCTCCTGATTCATTATCTTTACGCTACAGACAGTGAATTTGTGTTTTTTTTTTTTTTACTTTAGCTTGTTGTGTCAGTGAGTAATCTTATTGTGCTGGCTGTCTGTGCAAGGAGAAGAGAGGGGACCCTTGAGCGCTGGTAAGAGATGGTAATCAGACGAGATGACAGCCAGTGGCCCAGAGAGCAAACACTGACCATTGTTACAGCCACTGCGTGAAACGCCTCAGTTGGGCTACAATATGTCACACTGGTGTTGTCACACAAAAAAACCCCATGTGCTTTTAGTAACACAGGCAGTAGTTACTGCAGAGGTAGTTCAATTATTGTTGATTCTTTTTTCCCCCCCGTCTATTTTTGTGTTTGTTTGTTTGTTTGTAAGCAAGATTACATAAAAAATACTGAATGGATTTCCACAAAACTTGGTGGGAGGATGTGTTCTGGGTCAGGGAAGAATCTATTACATTTTGGCGAGATACTGTGTTTTACCATAATTTTTTTTGATTTCTCAGAGATTAATTCATTGATCTGGATGAAACAGATGTGGGCAATTTGGTGCAGATCCCAAAAAATCAGCATAAGGGGAATTTGAATGTGGTTTCTTCAGGGGACTGTTGGGCCTTTGTGAAGGTATATGCACTCTCTGAGCGCTCTGAACACAAGTATCATGGTTATGAATGATACACCATGATTACCCAGCCTGATGAAGAATTTGAGGCAATTTAACTTTAGATTTTTCCCAGAAAGAATTTTTAAGAAAGAGAAATGATTGTGCTGTGTTTTAACAGCAAAACAATATGTTGATAAAACTCCTCTATAACTGCTAACTGGAGCATGATTTCTGGTGAGAGACTCCCTGGTTAAGTACAGTAGAAAATAAATGTTTTATAAAAACACAGAATTAGAATATACAATGTCTACAAAACGTGACAGTGATCATATACATTATCGTACTCCATCATGTCTCTGTAGCACTGAGTGAGAAGTTTTTATTAAACCCAGATAAGTTTGATTGTCTTTATCAAGAGCAACGTGATGAGCCATATTTAAACTTTATGATTCAGAGTGTTTTGATTAATGACCACAGACCTGTGCTGTTATTGGAGTTGTTTATTCCATGCTCGCTGCGTGGAGGCAGCTAACTGAAAATCATTTGTTAAATTTCAAGGTTAAAAATATTAGTTTTGTTTGTGTCTTGCTGTATTATTATATTCCTGAGCATACACAATATTCTTTAACCTCGTATTTCTTTTATTTGAAGTTGAAAATGAACAAATGGTATTGCATTTTACTGAGACAGATGAAATTACGACAGGGACAATCAATAACTTGGACAATGTTGACGCTTTACCGTGCTACAATTATGTCTTGTTTGTGGGGACATTGGCTGTTTCTGCTGCACAATATTGTCTCAAACAGCAGGAACAATTGAGCCATCAAATTTTTTTTTTGCAGACTATATCACTTCAATTACATTGCAAGGATCAGATATTATATTTTTCAACATATGCCAGATGGTCCAGCTTTGCAGTTTGGTTGGATGGATTGATTTCATTTTTCTGTCTCTTTGACTTTTAAAGCACAGAGATTTTCTTTAACTGAAAAAATTAGTTTTATTAAGTTTCAGTGCTCAGCTGTTTGGAAGTAGCCTGGCATACATCAATGCCAAATCATAAAGTCATAAGTTCGTGATTTCACAATGAGGTTTACAAAGAAATGCGTATTTTCCTCACGATTCATGTAAAGCAAAATAAATGACACCATTAAAAATAGTTTTTTTTGTCAGGAAGGGTAACTTTGGAGGATATTATGAGTCACGTTTATTTTTCATTTCAAAAGAGGAAAACATAGGAGAGTTATAAAATCACATCTCAGTTATTATGCATCTGTTTGAAACACTTAAAACCTGCTCAACACCCACTTTTACTCTGGCTTTTGAATCAGATGAAAGCCAGAGGTTGAAATGTATTAATGCTGTCTTATCTTATTATTATACAATCGTACTGTTTTGTTTTTAATTTGTTAATTCAATGTACTTTTTGTTTCTCTCGGCTGTTTGTTTTATATTTGTATGCGTCTCCCCTATCTTAGCTGTTTAGCTGCTTTGGTCAACATCTATTTTTTTAAATGTGCATTGTAGATAAATTGATTTGACTCGACTTAAGCGGAAGACGATGATGTTTATTTTTGTTCTTCAGTTGTGTGTGTGAGTGAGTGAGTGAGTGAGGGATACAGAGAATGTAGATAAACTCTAAGAGTAATCTCGTCTTGCTGACTGAGTTGTGCATCTCTCGCTCTGACAGGTATGGATGAGCGGACCAGCCAAGCATCCTGGGCCCCAGGTGGCGAGTCAAGTCCTCCCTATGAGACCTCCCGGGTAAGATGACCCTCACCTCCCTGCCTCTGAATGGCCTTTATGCTCCACAGCACATCATTTAACACTCATTACATCAAAGTGGTAGAATCACAATGCCATGTTGTATGACCTGTAATGGACATATTTCTCTGTGACTGGTTAATATACTGATGGCAGGTGGAATAGATTTTGTGGCAGATAAAACCACCTACCTGAATCTGATATTACTGATAGATGGAGCTTCTCTATAGAGCTTTGTTAAAATATCTCAACTCAAATATAGGCTAATGCTGCTCAGCATGTACTGCACCTCAAGAGACATCACTGAAAAGAGTGAACATGTTTATTGTCCCAGTTTTTATGTGATCAACTGCTTTGCTACAGAGGAAATAATCATAATGATAAATCATCTTTTGATTGTTGTCATAACAACGACAAATAATAGAAAATACCCCAAATTTCATTCCTGCACACTTGATATTTTGAAACTACATCAACACCGTTTATTTCCATAATTACTTTCATTTCTATAAAATGTCCTGAATGTCTTGTTTTCTACAATTTACAAACCAAACCACAAAAATATTTGGTATTTTTGCAGCTAATCAGTTATTAAAATAGTTGATTTTTTGGTTAATCAACTAATCGTTTGTGTGTTTCTGTTGAGCAGGCAGCATCAGGACCTTCAGGCATGAGTAGTTTTAGGGTTGACAGAGATGATTGTAGTGACAGTGCAGCTAATTCATAATTCTTAATCTCTTCTCGACGTTTGATGGAATTTACTAACTTTGGTTTCTTCCTCTTCCCGTCTTCTGTGAATACGAGTGTGTTCAACCTGTTTTAAACTGCAGTGAAATATATGATGACTGAAAGCTCTGCTGTCAAAAAGCTCCCCTGCTCTCCCCAAGGGTTCATGCGCAGCATTTTAGCAGACAGTGTATTTACAGTAAATTGTATTTATATGCAAGTGGCAACCAGATATTTATGATTACATGTGAGGAAACATGACCCTCTGCCCTGAAGCAGCAACTCTTAATTTGAACCAAACTGAACCAAATTATAAACAGCCATATGGAAATAATAACATACCTCCTGTGCTAGAATTGTACAATTCTTTTGAGTTTTGTTGTACGTCCAAACCCTCTGGTTTTTGTCCTTCACCTAATTGTGTGCTCTGCAGGGAAGGTTGGTTCCATTGGTTCAATACATCTGACTTTTTGTCCCAGATCTACACTGTTGAGGAAAATAAGAATTTGATTAGAAATTTGTCTTTCGCCTCCTTGAAACTAACAAATGCATATACATTTGAGTTAATTAATTAATTAATTAATTGTAATCTCAATATTCAAAATTTAATTAATAGCTTTTTTTAAAGGGGTAGTCATCCTAGTTATTTTCTAGTGTGATTTATTTCTTTTATGACAATTTAATGTGCAACAATGCTGCTCCTCTGTTGTTGAGTTTAAGTGAGAACATCTCACTGTTTGTGTGAGGAAGCGTGAACAGCTCTCCCCCTGTTTGTTTGTCCCTCACACATTGGTTGTTCTTGATGCCCTGTATGAATTTCATATAATGTCAATCTCCTGTCACTTTCTATTAGAACACAGCTAAATGTCAAAGCCACTCGGGCTGAGTTACCTTGTTTATTCCTCTGTGCCCTTCCCGAATGAACATCTACAGGCTATGGTAACATAGGCAGCTTGATTTGAATTATAAGACAGAGACACTTGAGATATCTTTGCTCCAGGTGCATATAAATGAGTGTTTCTGACAAAGCAAGGCACAGCATCAACCAGCAGACAGCTGTTTGCGCCTCCATAAAGCGAGCACACAAACACTCCCATACCACACTCCCCACACTCACACAGCTGCGAACGTGCCATGTATTGATGCAGACTTGATTTATATAACCTATAATATATTATATTTATTTTTCTCTAAGAAGTGAGTGACATCTCTCATGAACCTCAGCAGCCTACAACCAGTTAAAGGATTTCGGTATCTATTTACAGTATTTTATATATTTACCATGTGAATGTTGGCACAATGACATTCAGAGAAAAGCAGCATCTTCCAGTTATGGATGTCAATCAGTCATTGATGATCATGAAGTATTTCTGTCATTCATCAGTGAGTGAGTCATGTGTGGTGAGGACAAATCTGTGGCAAATTAAATAGAGTGAAAACGAAAAGAATTATCTGGAAGCAAAATTACATGACTGCAAATGTCTTTATTTTCATGGCGCAATTCATTCCAATAACTCTGCAATAAATGCTTCTTGTTGACACAATGTCAGAGAGGTGTCTAAACATCCTGAACCACCAAGAACTATTATTTTCCTGTTTTAATCTGGTATCAATATTATTATTGTGATCATTGATCATTTGTCTTATCAATGAGGAATTCAATTATTCTTTATTACAGCTCTTAAACTGAGCATCTTTGTAGATCACATCCCTGTCAGGGGTGCTGCCTCCCAACTGAACTTTCATTCATATCACATCAGTAATTTACACCGATTTTTGGATAAAGAAGCTCCTAAAAAGTGAAATACCAGACACCAAGGCTGTTTAATCCACATCTAAATGAAAATTTAATAATGGATATCAGCAGATACCCAATATTAAAGAACTGCGATCTAGATCTGAGCTAAAAAACTTGAAACAGTTTAAAAAACATTTTGCTCTTCAATGTCTCTTTGTATCCTTTTATTAAACCTTAAACCTAAATGTTTAACTAAGAATATGTGCTCATTGGTTCAGAAGCGTCAAGCCTTGGTGCAAGTTTACCTGATTGAGGTTGTAGAATTCACTCTCCCATTTTTTTTTTCTCTTTTCACAATCAGACGCATAGTTACTCCCACTTCGTCCTCTTATTTGAGTCGTCAGACTCGCATAATTTGCAGGGGCCTCAGAAAATTACCTCAAACATTGTGTATAGTGCTGTCTGTCACAAAAACATACAGGTTGCATATGTCTGTTTCTGAGATTTTAAGACATCTGCTGTGTTGTCAAGACCTAAGACCTTTTTTTTGACCTTCCAGGATTTAGAAAAACCTTGCGCTGTTGAACAGACTCCAGTGTTGTTCTTTTCTTTGCCTATGGCAATTCTTTTAAAGTGACTTGTTTAATTTCTCCTTTTTTGTTAAACAAGAATTTAATGATTGAAAAAAGGGAGCTATTTTCTGAAATGCCCTAATTTGCGCCGTATTCCTTGTATTTGTCCAAGGTCCTTGGAAGAAAGTGCTTCATCTCTCAGTCTGTTACGGAGGGAATTCAGTCTTGTCCCTGAGCTTGTTTGAGCTGCTGCACTACGAGTGTGTGAGCAGTCGACTGTGAACAGTCCCGAGCTCTGCCGTGCTGACCTTGGCTCCCAGCCAGCCGCTGTATCCTGGGCAGCTGTGGCTGTAGGCTGGCGGTCTGACAGTCAGGGCTGTGCCCACCGTCACCGCACGGCAGCCCCCACTTCCCCAGTGCCCTGCCCCGTATTGATACTCGACCCCACACACATCCATCATGATCATATCATCGCTTTCCAAGCTGCCACATGCAGCCACACGTTTACCTGGGAAGCAGCACGGAGTGTGACTTTTTAAAACACTGTGGCGAGGGATTGGGGGACAGGGCGTGAGCTCCGGCCTGCATGCTGCCACAGTGATCTGACAGTTTTTTAGCCAGTAGTACTAATGTAGCCCCGTGGCAGCGATGACAGCGTGTGTTAGTGTCTCGGAGAGATGTAGGCCACCAGTGTTTGAGAATGATGAGGGATCTGTGATTGATGATCTAATGTTCCCAGAGGAGCAAATACAGTGTGGTAACATTGACACACAAACATAAACTGTGAACCTGGATTGACCATTACCCCCTTCCACTTGTTCTCTGCTAACGAACTTCGACTTTCCCTGATTCACGGTGGTAATTATAACACTCAAAGAAAGCATGAAGGGTTGGTCCCAGGTGCTTTCTAAGATTTATTTTATTAACAATTGCTTGATGATTTTGGGAAATACTTTTTTTGTCTTTTATGGCACAGACTTAGATGATAATATCAATACCACTCTAATTTCTTTCCTCTTAATATAAGACTCCATAGAGCTAGGTCAAACAGCTATCTCCAGAGCAGGGGTGGGGATCCTTTTCCCTCTCAAGGGCCATTTCACTTTTTACAACATCCTTAGTGGGCCATACTAAATTATTGAACACATATAACACTAACCTCTCTAATGTGTAGGCTGGGATGGTTTCGCTGATATTGTGTGGTCGTGATGATGATGCTACTCACAGCTGGTTTTACTCATTTTACACTATAAAACAAATCGTCACCTTTGGTAGCATCATTCATGGCTTATAGAGACTAGAATTCCTCCCTGGTGAAAAACTGCAATAATTCCATGCACAAAAAATGTGTATTTGGTCTTATTTCATATGTCTGTTGTTTCGTTGACAACAGTGTCCTTTCTTGCAGTGTCCCTCCGTGTTTTGTTAATATCTAAGAAAGCGCAACATTCATGTTTTTCGTTCACCCTGACTGTGACTTGATGGAAACTTAAACTGAGCTTGTCTGTGTTTTTTATCTTTGGGCAGAATAAGGATAATTTTCTCCTTCTGCTTTTCTGCTTTATGCTAATCTAATCTAACATATTCATCATATTTAATGGACAACATTAGAGGGTATCAACCCTTTCATATAACCATTGCCAAAATATGTGTGCTTACCAGAACTTTGAACTATTCTTTCAAGTGTTCAGTGTGACGCACTTTCCTTGTTTTGGTTTAGAACAGAGGAAATGTATTTTGCTTGCGTAGGTTAGGTGTGTATGTTTAAGTCTGTGTGCGTGCGTGTGTGTGTGCTAGTGCTTCTCACGGGCCGTTGTTGTTATTGAGTCTGTTCATGGTGTGATTAACAGTGTGTGTGCGGCCTGGCAGGAGCACAATAGTGAATGTCTGAGGATTCCCTCTACACAGCGCAGCACTCCACTGCCTTTGAAATTACTCCATCACCATCCACTCACAAAAAAAAAGATGGATAATAAGATTTACTTTTTTTTTTACTGTATGTTGAATGCAAAGGGTATGAGTTGGTGAAAATAGCTTTATAGAAATGCAAGCCTACTGCTGCTCGGTCTCTCTGGTGGGAGTTAATGTAGTTTGGGGAGATGTATTTGACTGGAGCACAGTAGGATTTTCACAGGGCTTGGGATTAGCACTGTAACGGAATATCTTTTATTACATGGGACCCAGAGTTTTCAAAAACCATACTGTGACCGATATTTAGACCTAAGCCCCAGAAGCTGATAACTGTCATGAAAAGGCACTGTTAAGCTGCAGGAGAAAAAGGCAATTTTTTTAAGCTGCAGGTACCTGGGAATGATGTAGGATTGCATCTCTCTGTTTCTTCCCCTTCTACAAAACGATGTCTTCTTATGAACCACGTGCATGAGACGGCATAAGAACCTGTTATATAGATAAAATAGTAGAACAAAAGGAAAACTTGAGTAATTGTATTGGTTTAGAAGCTTCTTTTATAGATGTATTTGAACAAAGATAAAGGGGCTTCAGGTTCAGCTCTTTTTGTGAGCTAAGGGATCAACACACGTTTGCAAATGATCACAGCACTTATTTTATTTTTGTCGATTAGTTGTCAAAATAGAGTTCACATAAATAGAAATGTAATCATGTGTTAGCTGAATTTACAAATTTACTTAATGGCAATGGAATTTTTTAAAGAACCTAGTTTTGAAAAAGGTGGCCATGATGTAAGCTTTGCATCAACTGTCTTCTCTTTAGAAAACACTTAATCATCTATACATCAGCTACAGTTAGCATGGCACATTGGCACGATAGCCGACAATGTTGTGTGTCCTGAATTGGAAACTGTAATTGGTTGTTGTCCTTATGTAGATCGTGCCAGCACCAAGTGTCAGGTATGCCAACCATCAACCATTAAAGCAGTGCGTTCATGTGAGTGCTCAGTCAGAGTGTGTGTGGGAAATGTCATGCCTCTTACCCAGCGGCCTTCTAATCAGCTGGAAATGATCAAATTAACAAATAAATAAACATGTTGTCTGGTGACATAGATGCCCTGTGGATAAAAAACCGGGATGAATACAAGGTGTTTCAGGCACTTGAAGAGCAGCGTTGTCTGTGAGACAGATGGACTTCCTGTGATGTAGACTTTGGCCTTTGTAACTCAAGGCTGCTGCACACTAGAGGACAAGCAGGCCGATTCGCCCTTTCCGACAATCGCGGGGGGAATTCCTGACTGGAGGTCAGTCGGTGCCAATTATCTGCCCAAATAATCCTGAAGTGTGAGGGGTTACAAACTAATCTTAATGCGACCGATTTGGTCAAAGCCTCCCAGATCTCAGAAATATCCAAAGTGTTTGATATTTACGATAATCGTCTCTGCCAGAAACTGACAAAGCCTTGTACGCCCTCTCAGCCATGATTTCATCCGTAGTGTTTTATTCTTTTTGTTGTTTTTCGCTATGAAACAGAGCACACGACGTCGGTCCTCCTCCATGGAGAAGACTTGAATGTAGAAGTCTGGATGTAGCCTTGGCAAACCTTTAACATGTACAGAAAGCTACATGGCGCTTAAGGAAAGGGAACAACCTGACAATCATATAGGCCCTTTAAAGTTAAAATATTAAAATGCAAGTTACAGAGTTTTTTAGTATTTCCTCTTATTTGTTTGTTTTTTGTTTCTCAATTTTTCACAAGAGATTGGACAGTTTATTGGCATAGGCGACCATTTGTGCTCTCCTCTTCCTAATTAGTGGTGTGTCATAGCACTCAATTAGTGAAGTTGCCCAATAAAGTGGCTAATATTCTGATCTCTTCCCCCAGGGTTTCGCAGACAGCCCTCATTACGGCGATCATTTGAGTGACAGTCGATTAGTGTCCCATGAAGGATTGTCTCCAACACCTTTTATGAACTCAAACGTAATGGGTAAGTAAATGATTCTCTTCAGTTCACCCGTCACATGCCCTTTGGTAGTGGATATAAAAAAAATTGTCTGATTGAGGTTAAGGCACATCACACATCTGGAGGTAGCACCAGTGAAAGACTTACCAGGCTACAGGGCAGTTTTTTACCAGCTCCTGCTGTCTTTATTTCCTCCCTTAATCCCCCTCCCCTTTCTATATCTCCCTCTTCCTCCTCCTGCGATGACCCTCCCCCAGGCTAGAAGTCACGCCATCAGTGTAGCTTTCCGTCATAAGAAGCTGTCTCCGAGACATCATAACTGCCCTCAGCGTCTTCCATTGGCAGCAGGGCTTTGTGTTTTTTTAGTTGCAAAGATAAACAGGCAGTTATATCAAACAGCATCTCACACATAGTCATTGCCTTTGGATTTGTAAAATCCTGCTATAGTCCCATTTTATATATCATTTTTTGAACAATGCAGAATCCCTTTTTATTATATTGTTTCAGAGATCATTGGTGTTTAACCTTTGTCATCTGATATGCACACAAAGCCCTATCATAGTAGTCTAATTCCCCTGTTATCAACACCACTCGTCATGTTCCAAGTGTGTTATACTTCAAACTGGATGTTATGTGACATTTTTAATTGTACCAAAGTAAATGGAGCTTTAGTTTACATGGTTTCTTTATTCACTTCAGTAGGTGTGGTCAAATTTGCATTCATATCTCGACCATTTGAAGTAGCAGAAGCTGGATGTTTCAGCTGTCTATCAATCACACCCAGCTTTGTATTTTATTGGATTTTGTGACTATACATAAACGAAAGATCGGCCTCACACAACTACCTTCTCTTATTACAGACTGGCAAATTGTAATCCCATCGTAACATTAGAACTGGCTTCATTGCAATGTGTAACCTGTCAACAGTTTTATGGCTAAGAACATCTCAGCTCATTACGTAAGAACCCAAGCAATGTGATTAGTTCCCAAATGGGTGCTGCTGAACTGAAGTGAAATGTTATCTTTCTTGTAGTTGATTCGTGACTGTTTTACATACAGTGTGTATTGCTGCCCACGCTAACTGCGTCTGTAATTATGCGAATGAGCTGCAGAATATGAATGCAATCTTATGCAGTGATATGTCAGATGTTGACAGTATGATTGTAAACTGGAATTGCTTCTGCGTATCTCAACCCTGGAATTTAAGAGGAGTCTGGCCATTCAATAGTTTTTCAATGGCAATATCTGGGTGTTATATTGGTTTATGAAGTTTTCAGCACCTTCATTGAATCATGTCTGGAGGGTTATTCCTCATTAATGAGTAATCACACAACCATGATGTTTAGAGGTAGAGCCTCAATGTGTCTTGTTGTAGGGATGGTAACAGTCCCCATCACCCTCAAAGAATAAGCAACATATCTGATAAATGGATAAAAGTGGTAATGGTTAAATCAGTTGGTCTCTACAATTTCTGACCTGCTGAATGGGTTTTTTTCAAGTCAGGCTTCGTGTCAACATACCGAGTAGTGTCTGTAATTCTGAGTTGGCCGACAGTTGCTCTGTCAGGTGTGTGAAATTCTTGAGCAAATGGTTAGCCTGAGGATGTACCCAGATCATTAACGCACTCTAATGGACAATAAAATATTGCTAAGTGGATGGCTTGTGGCCAAGGCACAGACTACAACTTAAGAGAGATTGCATTAAAGTGGTGTAATCACTGGTTTGCTCGGCTGAAAAGTGAGTCGGAGCTTTGTCTCAGCGATGTCCTCCACTGTTAATTCATCGTGCTGAGTTGGCCCAAACTGCTGCTGCGAGGTCTGACCAGAGACTGTAAGTGAATTATGTCAGACAAACAGTATCACAGAAATGATAGACAATGAAAGGCTGCAGATGTTCAGAGAAGATGCAGAGGAGGCAGCAGTTTGCTTATTCGTGCCAGCTGGGTATTGTTCTTCACCGAACAGAATAACCAAACAACACATTGAATGATTTTCACCAATCTTATCACTTTGGAGGGTTCCTCTAGATGATCAACTGTCAAGGACGACATCAACAGAAATACCATCTGAAAAACACATTTTTCGGTATGTCTAAACTGAAACTGATAATCATCCTCATATTATTATACATTGTAAGTGATGTCATCCATCTCTCATATGGGACTATATCCAGGAACTGTTTGGATAGAAATAATTTATGGTGAAGTGACATCATCATGGCATCTCTATGAAGTCAAATTACATTATTTCATGTAGTAATGCATTAAGATTTGCAACCAGTACAATTTGAGACACAAACAAAATCTTATTTAGATGGTATGAATGTCATGATGATGCTATTATGAAATGACATTATTACAATATAAAAACTTATGGATATGTTAAGTCTAGTTTATCAGCTCAGGGGATCTAAACTGCTTTGTTATAGAAAATGCAGCACAGATAAGGATTTTCCTACAGGAAAGTTAACTGACAAAATTATTATTTTTTGCCTATACAAAGAATATCAGTCTTCATTATTGTCAAGTAATTTCTCTCCTGTTGCCCATTTACTGAGCTGAACAGTCATACTACTGCTTCGCCAAATAGCTGCAAAATTGAATTTATTGGTATTTTAAGATCTCTACAGTTGAAGAAAATGAGGACCATCAATCTGGAGTAAAAAGAACGCTCATCCGATTAAAAAAAAACAGGCCCCTCCACTGCACTATCCGAGAACGTCTGATCTTCTGCGACCTCTGTGGATAACTCTGCTGCTATTACATGTGTCCGCCAAATGTCAAAATAACAGTAATAAGGTAGATCAAAGAAACCAGAGACAAACAAAAGCTGACTATGCTTTATATCATGTTCTAACCTTGTATAATCATGAGTTGCATGTGGTTGAAATTGGTTCTGCATGTTGAAGAGAAAGTACTGATGTTTATTTCATGGATTTCATTCCATGGACTGGATTTTTTTTATTCTGCCCAAATTTATCTATCAATTCATATCCCCCCCATTCTTAACAGCCTTTGAGATGTAAACCTCCTTACTAGTGTATATCTGACTTTAATAGGAGTCCTCTTTACACACATTGGAACAATAGGGCTCTGTACTACAGATACTGCATACTATACCTGATTACAAAACACAATGTTAATTTTTGTGCGAATACAGGTAATCATCGGCTGTTGTACCACGTGCAGAACGAGGTTCAGTGGAAATACTTCATATATCTGTATTTCTAAATGTTCACAGAATCAAATGACTCATAATGTGCAGGAATTCCTTTTACACAGTGAAATAATGAAAAACATTAATCATGTCAGTGTATGTTCAGTTCAATAGACATTGCCCTTGAAGATACATTTTGATGATCAACTAAAAAATCAGCTAATTTACATGTCTGATTATATGTTTTTTTTACAAATGAACATTAACTATGCCTCTAACAAGTCATCATAAAACAGATTAGACCTGTGAAATGGCACCGTCTTACCCCGGTCTCACAGGAGAAGTGTATGGGGATTTGAGGCTGAAGGATGGGGGGGTTTTGGTTGAATGCCGGGCAGCCACTGACTGCTTAACGATGACTGTGTTCTCCCTGGGGGCCGGCTCCCGCGTTAGAGCAGTGTATGGATCAGCTGGTCTGGGCCTCACGTGCGTCCTTGCCCCACCCCCTCTGGCTACAATCCTCTTACTGACCCACACGCCTTCCACTAGCATGCTGCCCGACAGGTGGTAGGTGGCCGCTGCATTGTTCCTACTGGTCAAACTTTTTTTTTGTTTCAGCCATGTGAGTCCCTTTGACTCAACGGCTCGTCACATGCATGGGAAGTGACCAATGTCATTGGTAGAGATTTGCGGCTTTATTATGTGTAATTCCTATAGACTGACAAAGACTATTGGTAGTATTGATTGTCACACAGATATGATGAAAAAAAGTTCTCATCAGGTTACTTCAACCATGTCTTTGTAATTTTAGGACATTCTTCATTATTTGGAAATTTCAATAATGATTTATTTTAAGGATGTGATGATCATTTATGACTGGAAACAATGAGGTAGTTGGGATCTAACACAAAAATAGTTCCTGCAACCATTATCTTTTTAAAAGTACTTAGTTGTTGTTCCTGGTTCTCCCATGTACCAGTGCAGCTGAAGTTTAATGAATGTAATTCACTGAACCTCGCTTCCCTCTCCGTATGACTCAAGTCTTCTGTAGGTCTTGCGGTGGAGGGTTGTTAGCCAACAGCCCATAGCCCTGACAAGGGATAGTTAGATTTAATCACCTGCTGAGATTTTTTCTTGTGGTGTCAGCTCTATGAGGAGAAGTCAGTGGGGGATGTTGATTTCAAGCAATCTGGGCAATTACCACAGGTGATGAGCTACAACTGAAAGAGCTGCACCCTGCTCCTTTATTTCAGGCTGCTATGTGACTGTGGATGTGTTTGTGTGTGTGTGTGTGTGTGTGTGTGTCTGTGTATCCGCGTATCCGCTGCTTAATGTTTTCTTCTTTGTCATTATTTACTTAATGGACTGGTACTGATTTCCTTTCGATTCTCAGACCTCACTTCAGATAAGGCTTTTAAGTCACTGGGATAATTAGTAAGGCAGGGTTGATGTTGCTGTTCAATATGTTATGATACATTTTTCCCTCCTTGATACCGACTCCTATACCTGAACATTGCATATCAGCCGATACCAAGTCCAGATCCAATACTGGAGCATAAAAAATAACTTATGTAACATATTTTAACAGCAGTATGCTACCAACCCTACGGACATGATGATTGCCATCACATATATACACACATAGAATTAATGTTTTTTTATTTATTATCTAGGGTTAGCAATTACACAGCAAATACGCGCTTTAAAAAATTGCTGAGATTTACCTAGCTCAGGCTACACTTCTAGAAATCCTTTCTTCTTCACCGCTCTAAAGACAGCTCCTCTTTATAAAGCAGTGTGATGACCATGTTAAAAACTTTTTCCTTTAGATGTTTTTAAAAACAAAGATGGGCTTGATGTTGGCTCTTG